CACCACATCGTCGAACTTCGACGACTGGACATAATCAATGACGGCCTGCACTTTGGTCTCCTCGAGAGCGTCCTCAAAAATTACCGTCTTCTCCTTGATGTCAGCTCGGAGGTACTCAACCTCTTGCTCTAACTTTCCTTTGGCCTTTTTAAGGCCCTGCAGCTCAAGCTTCAGAGCGTCCCAGTCTGCCCTAAGTTTATCCCAATCCGCCCTGAGGCTGTCTCGGTCTGCCTTGAGACTGTCTATCTCCAGCCTCAGTGCTTCCTGACCGACCTTGAAACCGTTCACTTCGGCCCTCAGTCTATCCTTGTCTCGGGCCAACCCGTTCTTCTCCGTCAACAGCACCTCAATAAAGCTCTTCTGAGCTGAGGCATCATTTTGAAGGCGGTGGATCTGACCCCGACCTGCCCTCAGTTCAGTATGGGCTTCACAGGATGACGTCTCAGCTTCCAGAGCTCGTCTCAGGTGCCGGTCGGACTGGAAGGTCAAGGCAGACACGACAAAGTTCAGCTACAAGAAGGCAAGACCAGTCAATAAAAAAGAAAAGAAAAAAAAAAAGAAGAAAGGAGAAGGGGAGAATCTTTCGCAGGGAACTCACCACCATGGTATGAGAAGCAGCCCGGGCACCGAGCTGACCAGGACTGAGATTAGCCCATTCTGCGACCTCCTCCGGGTACGCGGCCTCCTTGCTCTTCTGGAGACTACACCGGGGGTTCAGAATGCCTTCACCCCCTGGCTCTCCGAGCTAGACGCCGTCATCTCCGCTGCATGGGCGGACTCCTTGGAAGCTTCGGCAGTAGCATCAGCAGGACAGGCCCTAGCAATTGTCTCCGCAGGGCGTACCCCAGAGGTAGCTCCCATATCACCCCCGACGATGGTCTCGGTAGGCTCCGTCGTGGGCTTTGTCACCACCTCGGGGCCCTGAGGCACCATGTCTTCCTCCAAGTTGATGACGGGGTGACGACGAGGGAGCTCGGGCTCTAGAGCCGGGGTTTGTAAAGGTTGAGCCTCGGCGAAGGCCTGTGGAGATTCAACGCGAGCCTTCTTGGCCACGCGCTTCTTCCTCTTCATTTGACAGAAGAGTCTTTGACCATCAATCTTCTCTGCCTCCATGGGACTTGTAGTGAAGCTCGGCGTTAGTAACCCCGAAGTAAATACATGAACAAAAAAGCCGAAGTGAAGAAAAACCTACCCGGGCTCAAGCCGGCCTGGATGAGCTTCTCCTCGGATGTGAAGTCTTTGTAATTCAACCTCAGCTGAGCCAACGACTGGAGTGCCTTCTTGGTCTTCCCGTCTAGGATGACACCGGGGTCTTGAACGGCCACCCTCCAGTCAGTAGGGAAGGGCCACCCCGTGATGCTCCGAACTACGAAGTAGTCTTGCTTCCAGGTCGAGACTTCGGGAGCTTGTGCATAAGTTTGAAACCTGAGCGGGGAGACAGGTAATAAGACCGTCTGTGCCCGGGGAGAGTGCCCGAAGCACTCTTCTTTATGGCCAAGATTGTACCCAACTACATTCCGTATGGAGTTTGGGTGAAGTTGGTCCAAAGTGATGTTAAAGTGCACCAGCACCTCAACAATCAGGGGGTGTAGAGGAAATTGGAGTCCGGCTATCAATTGCTCCCTGAAGACCACGATCTTGTCAGGACCGTGCTCCCATGGGAAGTTGCTGGTAGGAAGGTTGTATGAATATTGCCCAGGGAGGTTGAACCTTTGTATGAGGTTCTTGAGCCTCTCTGGGGTCATGATGGAAGGGCCGAACTGATATGGCACCCGACCTCGGTGGGAGGTGGATGCCAGATGACCCGAAGCCACACGCACATCGGACGGCTAGGCGGCAGAGGAGCCACCCTGAGCCGAGGTACCCACCTTGGGCTCGTCGATGAGACTTTCTACATGTATGGTAGATGACATTATGAGACAGAAGGGAAAGAATGCTCGGAAAAAAAAGAGGAGCTCGGGGACTCACCACTGGAAACGCAAACTGACTAGAGGAACGAACCAAGCTAGAAGACCCGAGCCAGGAACCTCAGGCGCGAGCTCAACTTTGACGCTGGAGACTTTGTGGCGAAGAAATGGCCAAGGGTCCCCCACTATTTATAGCCGCTGTGCCCGAGCATCAACGGTCGCGATCAAGACGATCTAACGACTCTCAAAAAAATCGGCTACGGGTTCCTCGAGGCGAAATCAGTTTAGTGCATTTTTTCGCGTTCGCGAAGTCCAAACCGCGTGACGTTCCTGCGTAAGCTGAACGCGACCCGAGTTCCTTTTAACCGAGCTGGGAACTAGACGGTCCAGCTGGACGGAACGCGTGACGAAGCGGCATAAGTGCCGAAGCCAAATCCACCCGGCGTGACAAGAACTCCCTGCACTGGGTCAACACCGCCAGCATAGGGAGTGGGGGACAATTGATGGAGGGTGATTTGGCCCGACCTCATAGCACGGGTACACGTGTGCGTGACCTTGCTCAAGCAGTGACTTAGCGCGACAGCACAGCAGGCGCAGCCGCAGCTCGGAGGGAAGGTCCCACCGAGTTCAGCTCGACAACTCGGCGAAATAGACTACTCGCCGGGAGCCGCCTGGCCTGCACCACCATTTCGGGGGCTAAGGCACCCCGAGCTACCTCCGAGCTCGGGGCCCTCTGACCTTTCCTAATACCCGAGCTCCTCCCAATGGATCTCGGGCCACCCCCAGACAGGAACACACCGATCCGCCTATAGGCATCCCGAGGTGAAGACACCTCTGGCCAAACAACTCGGCTTAGCTTGCCCCAGGCAGTTCGCCGCTTACGAGATAGCCCGGCACAAGGTATCTCGCGGAAGGGTAGTTTGGAATATCGTAGGAAGACCTCCTGCCCAACCACTGTACCCGACAAATTTGGAGGCAGCAGCCATATCCCTCGTCAGACAGCGTCGTGCCTGCCATCTTCAGAAGGTGCTTTACGCTTGACAGACACATACCCTGCAACGATGGCCCCGCGCGTGCCACCTCAGTCCTGCTAGTAACGGTTGCGCAGGCTGACAGTGGCGGTTATACCTGCCCTGTCAAAGACCAGTGGGCCAAATGTAACGGATTTCTGCTACAAGGAGTTTAATATCAAGGAGGACAGGTATGATTATGATCTTCTTCTACACTCGCGCTATCTACGCTCTTAGCCTTCGTCTTCTCCTTGCTTCTCCTACAGAGTACTAACTTAAGCATCGGAGTGTTCCCGCCGGATAAACCCCCTGGGGATTCTTCTTCTTCTCCACCTCAGGTATCTTCCAGGAGCCACGTGAATGCCAGTTAGGAGTGACCGGATCGCGCTACATCAGGAATGAATTCATTCCTGCTAATTTCAATTCTCATTCTCATTTCTATCTGAATCAAACAAACTATAAGAATAGACCATTTTAATTCCAATTTTAAAGGTTTTTAAATCTAATTCTAACTGAAAACCAAACGAACCCTTAATGTAAAATATATTGGCCATTTGATTATTTTAACAACTAAATGACACCTTTTAAGCTATTATCAAAAGACTCCTAGAATCTCATACTTGCAAGTGTCAGATCTAATTTACCCTCTCAAAATCACAAACAACTGAGACTCAGTTTGAAAAGAGTACAAATGCAAAAAATACATATAAAATATAAGGTTTTGCACTCTATATATTTGCATTTATACTCTTTTCAAATTCAGCCTTAGGCTCAATTTAAAATAAATATAAATGTAAATATATACAATACAAATACATATAAAATAATACAAAATATAAGATTTTACACTCTACATATTTATATTTATACTCCTCCCAAAATCGTTGTGACTTTTAAAATTGAAAACTAGGAAGGGCTCTGACATTTAATGGACGTTGGTTCAGTCTTCGAGTATTTGCTCTATTGTGAGCTGTGGTTCAAGGGGGCGGAACACGATGCACCCAATTGAATCACGTAAAACAAAGAATTAAACGCGGACAAGATTCAAAGTGGTTTCGGCAATGTCTGACTGCCCACATATTAATATCTCAACTTGATTTCTTAGCTTGATCTCCTGCTAATAGTATGCTTTCAATTACATGTTGAAAAAAACCGATTGGCTCGGTTTGACCTACAAATAAACTCATGTACCCATTCAAATTTCAAACTATTTTCTTTTTAAAGGGGTTTAAACTTTAATGGCAAATAGGTTTAAGGTTATAATCCCAACCATAGGTTTTATCACCATCTTATTTCGAGGTAGAACCATAGAGCAATGTTGCACTGGTGGTGCATGAAACATTCTATTGGGCCAGTATTAAGCACAGGTCTAGAAATTGGAGTTGGGTGTTTTTGCCACGAAGAAATCACTTTTCATAGCAAAGATGAATGAAATTGAGTGCCCATTTAGAAGGGCTTTTAGCTTTTTGATCTAATTTCAGCTTCATCTATTGGAAAAGCAACCTGCTTAATGATTATTTTTTAAGGTTCAGTTTGGAAAGAATATGTATGGTATAAAATATAAGGTTTTACATTTTATATATTTGTATTTATACTCTTTTTAAATTGAGTCTAAGGCCATGTTTGATTGCAATACAAATAAATTTGCATTCTAACCTATTTTTGTCTCAAATTTTAACTTATTGATTTTAATACAAATACAGTAAATTAAAACATAAAAAAATAAAGTAAAATCCAAAATATAATTAAACAAGAATTTGCATTTCTATATATTTGTACGAATGCAAATAAAATTACATTGCAACCAAATGCAGCATAAGGCTCAAATCGAAAAGAATGCAAATTACAAATATGTATAGAACAATCTTAAATCTTGTATTTCTAAACCTTGTATTTGCACCTTATATATTTGTATTTATATTCTTTCAAAAATGAGCCTACGGCTATATTTGATTAAAAGGAACATACAAGTTTTGTGCTTGTTTTCCTTCCTTTCCTTTCCCTACGAAACCAAACACAGCCTAAAAGATAATTTAATATGCCCGCCAAGGCGCCAGCACGCCCAAAAAAATGATGGAAACCGAGCAAAGGACCCACCATCGTCACTTCTTCGTCAGAATTTGGACGCCCTCTCCTGCAAATGGCGGGCTAAATAAACTCTGAAACATTTCAAAATAAAACAACCGCACGCTACCTTTCTCTTGAGGGCAAATGGAGAGAAGAGTTGAGGATTCGATACTGAGGAAAATGGAGGAAGTACGATTAGTCTGCGACTGGGAGATTTCTATTCAGCAGAAGAGAATGGACTCCGCCATGATTTCTTTTCGAAATACTTCGCAGTCGATCAAGCTCAGGGCAAAAGAAACAGCCGAAAATCAAGGTAAGATTGTTCTAGGGATTTCAGTTCCGTGATAGGTTTCTCTTTTAGACGCCGAATGTCGGAATTGGGTTTTTTGAGTTGCAATTTTGATCACGTTTAGTAATTGCAGGGTATCCTGAAGGTCCGAGGGTTTATTTCGCGATCCCGTTATTACTAGAATTATCTTTTGTTTCATTCGAATGAACTTTCTTTTATCTTAGGGTTTAAATTAGATTACGTTGATCCGTGATAATTCTCGTGAAGTTCAGGTACATTTAACTGATGAAATTACCACCACTAAACTACTTACAAACTCGAATAACATTTGAAAGGGGAAAAAAAAAGTCGCCTTGCTTTTATGAGAGCGAAAATTCATTGCAAGTGTTTACTTTAAGGTTGCAGTCTAGTTTTCCCTACCAGGGGTTCCTATTGTTGCATACTAGGAATTTCGGTGGTTTGCATTCTTTAGCATTTTAGGGGAAAACAATTCTGTAAGTGTTCTTTTTCTTGGAAGTTCTGTAGTAATTGCTTAAATCTACTTGGTAAATGAAATGGAGATTTTATACCGTCAAGTACCGGTGTGCATTTCGTTTATCAAGTATAGTAATTATGCTTGTTTATCTATCATTTTTTTGCAGTAAAACTTGGCAAGCTTAAAACTGAGCTGAGAGAACTGGAGGATGATTTGGTTAAAGCTCTGGCAGGTATGTCTGACAGCTGGTAGTTTGCTGTTACCAGAACTTTTTTATTGTACATAGAGCCCATCCATGAAAGCTTTACGAGCAAGGGAAGGTAGGTAGGCCCGGCCCCAGTGACACCTCTCTGGGAAAACTACGTGAATTAGTTTGGACTAGCGCATTCCTGTCAATACAATCTTTAGCTCCACTCTTCCTTCTTTATCCTCCTTACATAAGCATATTGTTTTACCTGCCTCACTGGAGGTGTTCTTACAACACTTAGGGTCATGAGTTATCACTGAAACATCATTGTAGATAATTTAATTGAATTAATAGAATCATTCTGTTTTATCTATTGCTGGGGTATGGCACATTAATGAGGTGACAAATTAAAATTTCTTTTATCTGTAGTCCTTTCTTTTCTATGTGTATATGTTTTGTATGAATTACCAGCAAATTAATTAGCATATCGGTTACTTATGTTGAAGATTATGTAAGCCATTTCATGTATTGGAGTCCTTAAAGAAGCAACAGTCAAATGCATTCTTTTTTTGGTTGGTACCAAGAATTAAGTTTACTAATCAGAAACAAGAAATACAACTCCACTCTCCAGCAGACTTTAGAGAGATAGAGGCATTAAGTATAGAACATCCATTGGCTGTCATTACCGGTACATGAATTGAAAAACTGGAGCTGCTAGAGACTTATCCCTGTGAATGGCATTCCCCATTCTAAGGCTTTTTTGTTCACATCTATTCTTGCTAAATTGTTAACCAAACTGTTTGCTGACCTTAAGATCCTCCTGAATAGGAAGTTCAGGGTGGATACTAAAGCTCTAACTTCCCTAATCATAAATATTAGCAACCTAGGCCTATCTACCCTTGAAGGAAACCGACCAACTTCCATATGACAGTCTCCTTGTACAAATATCTGTTCCATCTAGCATTGACAGTTAATTTCAACACTTGAAAAAGTGCAACAAGCTCAGCTTGTAAACAATTTCCCGATGATTTAAAAGGCACGCCTATGCACCTCGCACCCCAGGCGCAAACTGGCCCTTGCACTTTTAAAACACTGCAATTTCCACTTTCCAATGGCCCTGAGCTCATTTGAAATTTCCCTCCATGGTCTCTAACCCTGCTTTCTTCCTAGATTATCCTGGATTGCCAAGAGAATTACAATAAAATTTCAGTTTTATTTCTCCTCTTTCAGGCATGTCCAAGGATTTAGGTGCTGCCTATCTTTGATTAGAGTGGCTTGCCAATTGTCATCATAGATCATTCCTGGAAGATTGAACCAACTGTGATCCCTTTGCATTCTTCCATAGTTGCTACACAATGGATCACTTGCAATATGTATAGGTCAACAATAATATTTGCTTCTTGTTCTCAAATATCCTGGAATTATGATCAGACCAAACACCCCAAAGAACCACTGCTGGTTGCTTGCTGCTCTAGTGCAATGCCAAAGACGCTCCCTGCTTGTGGTGTTAATAGGAGTGCACTAAGTAGAAAACAGTCCAACAATATCTGAGGGAGAAGGTCAAGTAGTCCAAAAAAAAAAGTGGTTCCATACCTTTGTAGTGAAGGAGCAGACAAATGCACTTTAATAATGCAGTTCAGAATATTGCATATGTTAAGTATTGGTTAAGGATGTTGTGGCTTGTTATTTGTCTTGCTTCTTTGGAAGTGGCTATTTTTCTGCCCTTCTTTTTTTACTCTAAAAGTTTAGTATTGCCTGGTTGAGTCCATAATCTGTTTATTTATTTAATTTATAAAACTATGATAACTTATCCTTTGTAAAATTCTGCCAATATATTTCCTTGTTTGGCATTTATTGTTTTGAACATCAAGACTTTCCATGTAAACCTTTATTTTTTTTTCTGCTTTCAGAGTAAATATAATAGTTTTAGTGATATATATGGTGCTACAAGTGATCTTTTAAGTGGAAATGTTTTCTTCACTAACAGATTGTTTCTTATCCATTGCATTTATAGTGAAAACCCGTAAGGAGGCCAAGCGTATGGCCATACTTGATTCCATTTCTGCTACAAAAGCTAGACTAGAAGAGCTTAGAAAGACAGTGCATAATCAGAAGGCCAGGAAGGATGAATATGCATCAATAATTTCTCAACAATCGGTTGGTAGGCTCTCATTTTTCCCACCCTTTTTAAATGCTAGCTGGCCTTTTGCTTTGATCAATACTAAAATTTTGCATGCTCATTCCAGTGTTGTTGCAAGCTCTTATCTGAGGTTATCCATTTGAAAGAGTTACTTTTTTTCTAATTAGCATCATCTTATTCTCCTTTCTTCAAAATGAAAATCAAATCCCGAACTATTGGCCATTAGCCTTATAGTAAACACCTCAAGATTACTTTGATGTAGAAGGAATGAAACATAAACCTATATGCACATCTATCAGTAACGAGCTTATATTTTGCTTTCTTTTCCACTAGAACTTTGAAGACTTGCCTGCTTAGACCTTAAGTGATTTTAAAGGAAAATCAGATCCTGTATTATTGTCCATTAGCATTATTATAAGTAACTCATCATTAGCCTTGATGTACAACACATGTTGATATTGACTATCTTATGACACTCCTATGAGTAGTTGATATTTCTCTTGTGCAACATTGATACATGGCAATTGTTTCTTTGGAGAATCCTTCTATTAGAGTATTCGAGTTAATCTCTGAAGGGTAAGGATTTCTTATGAAGTAAATGATAAATCTTACTCTAAGAATTTTACCATGTGAAGTTTCTTGAATATTCCAAATATCTGTATTTTACCATATGAAGTTTCATATGAGTATTTTGTACAATCGTTTGTCTTTTTTATTAGTTACCATGCCTTTTACTGAATACAAATATCTGTATTTTGTACAATGTGCAAGTCCAAGAAAATATGTCATAGTGTAAGGGTAATTTATTCATTGTGCTGTTTGGCCCTTACACCATTTTCCATCTTGAATCCATACTCTGGTTTGTTTCCCCCCTTCTTTTCCCCCCTTATTTAATGGGTAATGAATTTCATTGTTGAGAATCTCCACTGCTCATATGAAATATATTTTTGTCTTTGTACCTTAGTTCTCAAATCCATTTTCTTTCTTTCTCTTATTATTTTCTTTTGTCTTTTTTTTTTAATTCATATTTGAAAACTTTAGCAACACTCAAAGAAAAGGATGACCAGGAGACCAAAAACAGAGGAGACATAGAAGAAGCCATTTCATGGTACAATAGGGTCCTTGGCTTCCGGATTGAAGGAGGACGTGGTAACTTCACATATCACAGCTATCTTCCTTTTGATACAACTCAATTTGTATGTTCATTTTGTAAACAAGTACATTGCTTTGCTTGTTTAGGAGTAAAATTTATATTCAGTAAGATTAACTTGAATGATCCAACCGAAGAGTATTCTTTCACCATTCGGCATGCAGATGATACTTACACTTGTAAGTAATAAATGCTATTATATCTATGATTATGAGCAATATGTAAAATTACTGTTTACCTGACCCATCTATAGTTGAACAGATAAATTGACATGTGCCTAACATTCTAGTTAATTTTCCTGATAATCCTTAGTGCTAGATTGTGATCCTTATTTGGATGGTACGAAGGAATTGATCCAAGAATTGAACCAAACAAATGGTTTGCTCAAGTTTGTGAGGATCATGAGAGAGAAGTTTCAAGCAGCAGCAGTACAAGGTACTATTCTTTGCCTCTTGTCCCTTGTTGCTTCCATCCTTTCTGCCTATGGCCCATTTTGTAGTTGTGTCCTGACCCTCACCCATGTGGTGTCTGCTCTTAGAATCTCCTCATAAATGTGAAGTGCATCTATTATGTTAAAATTGATGCAACCTTTTGGGTCATGTTTATTGATACCATTGCTGATATTAGTTGAATGAGTTAATGAGAAGTCTACTGTGCTATCCTATTTCATATTTAATTGATGTGTATATTCCTGTTATTTTCTAAAATATGCTCTTCATTTCATTTGTGATTCACCAGGAGTGTTGCCTCTGTCCACTTCTGTCCATCCAGAGTCATCCACAATCTCTGTATCTGCTCCAGCTTTGTCAATCTCATCTGACAGTAAAAGTGACTCCCTTGGAAATGCTTCACAAAGTGAGCTGAAAGTCTTACATGGAGAGTCCAACAGACCTTCCAAAAAAATTAACCACAGGCGAGTTGACAAATCAACAATTCTTTCTCCTGCATCTGCATCATCTCTCCGTCGATCCCCTCGTTTTAAGGTAACCTATCAAGACATAGTTGGCAACTATTTTACTTTTCCCCTCTAGTGTCAAAAATCTAACCAGAAAAACTAAGCCAATATAAGTGGATGGACAAAAGTTCTGGTTAGAAATTGGAGGTCCAATGCCTCAAACTCATACAACACCTCTGCTTTGATTCTTCAAAGTTATCTTTGTGTGAGTTTTCAACTTAGTATAGAATATGGGTTATGCAAGAACTTTGGTAGGATACAAAAAGGTTAAGAGATCATGAAGGTCCTCAACAAAAAGAACTTGATGACTGTTATGTTGATGGTGGACCGAGGCTTCAAGAATGCTATGCATAGGTGTTTATCTTGTATGTACCTATCGTTGTACCTACCAGATATACTCCGAGACCCCCCCTCCCCACCTCAAAGTAGAGAGAGAGAGAGAAATAATGCCGAAAGATTGATTCCTTTATTTCCCCTGTGTCTGACTATTTATACTGTTTTACAGAGCTCCTCCTTTCTTGCATTCTTTAATTCCTTTCTATTAAAACCGCTGCAAGTGGACAGTTAGTTAGCTGAGCTGTTGTGCTGATGTGGCCTCCTCTTGTAAAGCTGACTAACTGTCTTCTGTTGTTCTGTTTCAGCGGTCTTAACAATTCTATTCAATATTTTCTTTGATCTGTTAAATGACCACTTCCTGACATTGTAATATCTCTTTTGCTAGAGGCTACAAATTCTCTTTTTTCCCTTTTTGAGGCTATATTATAATTGCTAAAGAATTTATTCATTTTAATGTAAGAGAACAAAGGATATATATATATATATATTGTTAGTGCTTTAAGACAACTCTTTTATATGGCAGGTCAAGAAATGAGTAATGGAGTAGGGTCCATCTTTTTACCGGAAATTAGACTTTGCTCCTGAGATCAGTCATGTGCCCCACGCTCTAATTTGCTTGTCTAGCTGAAACTCCTGACTGATGATAGCATGGCTCTCGAATTGGAAGCACAAGACCCTATTTATTATTTTTAGCGATATATGCTGAAGTTAAGAGTGGAAGGAACTTCTGTGATCTGACTGGAAGAGCTAGAACCAGAGATTGCTACCCATTTAACATTAGGACTTAACCATGTCGGTAAGGCTATCTGACCTTGCTGTGTACTTTCGTATATCAGGGTGTCCATGTATGAAATGTAAGGATACTAGTTTCAATACCATAATTTAATGAATACCACCGTTTGCCTTGGTTTGAAGTTAGCTCCAGATTTCGTTTTTTACTTGAATAGTTGAAGTTGCACATGCTACATCAACTGTCAGTGGATTTAGGTACTATGGAGAACATGGACACATTGAAGAGGAGGGACATCTCAGAGAGAAAAGTGTAACATTAATTATCCAACCTATTACTAACAAAAATAAAAAGGAAAAGATTCAATTCATCAACACTTTCCCTTCTGCTGCTTAGAGAATGTCATCATCTTTGATCCTCTAGATGAATGTGAGTATCGGTTGATTACATAATGAGAGGGCAGCTTATGGTGGCTAGTTTTTATCCCATAATACATGTAACCTTTGTTTCTTGAATCTCTGGCTTTGGTGGAACTAAACTTTGATGGTAGTTCCCTATGGAACCCAGGTCAGTAGGGTGTTGGACAGGTGTTTAGAGATCATAATGGTAATATTTGATTAGCTTACTATGGTCCAGAAAGGGTTGGCTGCTGAGATGTCTCTTAGATACTTGAGAGTTAAAAGGAGTTAAAAGAAACTCAAAAACTCATCATCCAATCTGAACTGCTCATTCAGATGGATCCCCAAGACTGCTCATAGTTAAGCTGATAGCTTAAATACAATGAAGGCCAATAAGTCTGAATGTCTGATTTAGATTGGGGTTTACCAGGGCCAGGTGCCTTGGGATGTTATCTTTCTGCCCGTTGCTCCCAGGGCTGTTGGGAGATGGGATGCCTTTACAATCCGTTAATTCTTTTATTGATCAAAAAAGTTATGAAAGTTATCTTCATTTACCTGAATTTGGAAACCATTCAGTTTTGACCACCAAATTGCTTTGATTTACCATGATTTGCATTGTAAACTATAGCTGTTGAATAGTGTATCTTGCCCTTGTACAACTTGCTACATATCTTCCTGCACAATGGTGAGTATTGCCTTGGGTCTTCTTGCAGGTTTCCATAATACTTGTGAGTTGTGTCAAAACTTACTATTTATTGATGTTATTTTTATTACTCGTTCACTTTTACATTATTGTGTTGGCCGATACCTAGTCTGATGTCAATGATACAGTTCTTATATTGCTTAAGCCAATATACATGTCCGACTACATGAATATGCATTATGCAAATACGTTACAGCTGTGAATTGTGTTTGAAGAGAGCCATCTTAGATTGTCAATTGGCATAATATGCTGTGGATAAATTCATGGGTTTGCTCCCAAAGTCTTTTTGCTTCAGACTCATCATTTGCAAGACTTGAACAGTGACTCTCATTACAGTCAATAAAATATTTCCCATTCACCCCATTTATTTGTCGGCTCAGAGCAACATAGCACGTTGTTGATGCGCCCTGTATAGAAATTAAAGGAGAAAAAAAATTGAAATTAGTTTAGAACATGGATCTTTGAAGGAGAATAGGCAATTTTATGCAAATTACATGGCCTGGAACAAACCTGAGATGTTGTCTTTAGCAACTTTGATGCAAGAAAGAAGATTAAATCTGTGAAAGAAAATGTTGAGAAATTCAGATATTTGGTTGCTTAATTGTATCTCTGGTTTAAGTAGAAAACTAGAGGAGAATCTGTAAACACTAATGTCTAATCATATAACAGAATAGTACACCCCCCCTCCCTGTGCTTTAAATTATTGAAGAAATCAACTTCTTGTTGAGGGTGGTATTAATTCTATCTTTATGTAATTCTATGATGGGGTAGCAACAGTCGATTGATGCAATTGATTCAGATGCTAAAATATGGTCACTTTTCAATGGTCTCACCAATTGAAGTGAATAAATTAGTTCAATTTTCCTTTCCTTTATTTATGCCTTTTTGTGGGTTTTCTTGATTTAATGCATGGTCTCTAAATTTAAACCCCCACAACTTAGATGGTGCTTTTCAAATCAATGGTGCCAGTTCAGGCCATGTAGGCGTTAAACAGAAACCGAATTTATTGTTTGGTTGAGCCATTTAGCAGATAAATGTTGTTCTCGAGTTACGTGAGAACTGTTTATCAAAAAACACCAAAAATGATGTTTTTTTAACGATGCTTGGCGCATGTGGTGCCTTATGGCGCTGATACCAAATATCCCCTTAGTTATGAGCTTTAGCCCCAAACTATACTTCCCTTTTGTCAAACGACTCATACCTGTGATAAAGCCCTTATGATCGCTCATAATCCCAGTCTTCACTATTCCCGGGTGGACTGCGTTAATAGTTACTCTCGAATTCCTTGCCTGTAAAAGAGAGGAGAGGCATTTGATTTCTGTGTCATCAAAACACGGAAAGAATAACGAGGGCTATATGTATAGTTTACCTTGAGCTTGTTAGCAATTTCCTTTGCATGCAATATATTAGCCAATTTTGATTGAGCGTATGCCCGGGTTCCATTGAAACTGCATGAACATACAAGCACCAGGTTTGAGCAATACCAAATGATCATGGCAACTACTAGGTCGTTGGCTATAGGCCTTGTTTTGAGTTGCTAGCAAGTTTGGCAGCCCCTTCTTCGACAGGCCGTCTCCTCGTGACATAAATCCATACACTAGCACTGTTGTTGCATGGAGTTCGTATGTACTAACGTATCATCTACGGAGTGCCTTGCTAAATTCCTAGGCTGTCAAATGTAGACAGCCAAAATTTTCCACCTTGGGGTGTAGTCCTGCAGTAACGGAGAAACTGCCTTGGATCTTATACTTTATGTTGTAAATTGGTGTTTGGATCTCCTACCCACTTAATACATCTGCACATCAAGAACATTTCCTGTCTTTATATGTTACCATTCATGGAGATGTTCTCCATGTACAGCTGTAATGTCCTATGTGTGTGGATAGGGTTTTTGTGGGTAGGAGTTTTCGATTGTGTAAATTGCACCTTGATGAGGGGAAATTTGGTCTTCTGAATAATATCATGACACATGGCATCTAAGAAGACACTTTGGTGCTGAGTAAGTGAATCACCTCGGCAAGTCAGCTTGTAGCACCTCGCATAGATTGACCTAGAATACCTCGGATTGGTCTAGTTAATAGGGCTTTGAACTCAGGGCGACCTCTCAAACTTTACATATTTGTATTTATATTTTTTTCCAATTTGGGAACAGTGAAAACACAAATATGTACACTACAAATACAATATTCTTCCCAAACTGAGCCTTGTTTCTTCAGTTGTAACCTAAAAGAGTGTGTGTGCAACTTGAAATGACGTAGACCTTTTGCTCCTTTTCTCGCTACCATACCATGAAAACTATGGTCTGATTATCCAAAGGAATTCGTGATAGAGTAACTAGTTGGATCACTAATCAGTTGTGGCTTAGTTGACAACTTCTTTGGCTGCTTGTAATGGAGACTTGGGACACGATATATTGGCTGTAAATATGGTGGGGGGAATGAAATGACCCTTCACTTTTTCTAACTTTTAGGCCCCGTTTGCTTTTTGGTAAGTTACTTATTCGCGTAAATGCAATTACTTGGATAAGTTTTTTCTAAGAAACATTTACCCAGGCAAGTGCATTTATCCATGTTCTTTTATTTCCTAAATAAATAAGGCAATGACCATTTTAGTCATAGTAATCCATTATTAAAAGGGACATTTTTTGTCTCATTCAAGTGTTGACAACTTCCCCCCTATGTGAGAAAGTTATTTACCCACTTAGGAGATGGGCATCACTTTCCTGGGTAAGTGATACTCATGAAAGTAAATTTTCTCTGGTTCCCACATAAAACTGAAAAAAGAACATGGAATTCTTGGCCAATGGAAACAAAAATCCTATTGACCAACTTTCCCCCCCTCTCAAAATCCAAAAAAAGAACGCTCCCTTATTTGTTTCTTTGGTTTTTTGGAAGGAAAGATTAAAATAAGAAAATTACTTATTGGGATTCAGCATATCATTGAAGCAGAATTCATCTCGCCTCACCCAGCTGTGAATTACGGAAGAAACGTTGATTATTCTTCCTTCAATGTCTGTCTGAGTCGCTGTTTCTTCCATTTTGTCTAATAGCATTTCAATCAATAAAAAATGACCTGCCAAAGTATGATAAAATAATATATTCAATAAAGGCTAAAACGAAAAAGTAAAAGAAGAATACACCAAACGTTAGCAATGGAACTGGTCGGGAGTGGGTGTTGTCTGGACCGATTTATTATGTAAACATCCATGGCCTAGATTCTGACTTAGCCCACAACATGGCCCGGAAGTATTAATTTGGACTATGGCCTATGCCCAAATATTGGGACGGGTCCATATCTTTTGCCACAAGCACTTAAGCCCATCTTGAGTTAAAGGTTGTGGGATTCAGGGTTATCGTGGACTTTACTGCCTGGAGTTCTAACTTCGTATCTTACGCCTAGGGCTAGGGGTCCATTGGGGTAACTAAAACATGGCCTAATTTCATGGATGGACCATCTCGTGGCACATCTTCAGTCACCGCTAAGACAAATAGGTCCTGTCCAATGTCTTAGCAGGACCTTGGCTCTAAACGGTAAAGATATCTAAGCTCTTCTTCTTCTTCTTTTAACATTAATCTTTTCCCTCTCAACTTGTTCTAGTTCCAAGAGAGAAGGGATAGGAAAGTAAGGGGCTTACCCAAGTAATTTGTGGCAAAAGTCATCTCGATTTTGTCTTCAGAGAATTCCAAATTTTTTGAGTATTTCCCTGCATTGTTTCTGCGAAGCAATTTTAATCGAATAACTTCAGTATCAACTGGAAATACTAATAAGTGTGGTGTCACTGGTGTGAGTGTGACCACAAAAAAAGAAAAAATGCTAATAAATTAATGTGAAACAAAACTCTATTTCCCTCCACAATTCAATTCAGTTGGAGTCCTTTAGAGATGAGAATGGTTGGAAGAAGGATATTTATGACTCACATGAGGATATTAAGTGGTAATCCTAGAGAAAGGAACTGAGAGCAGAATCTCTTGATTGAAGCAAATGAGCTAAGATTAATCTCTAACAACACAATTTCAGCTCGGGGGCTCTCCTTTTGGATCCTCTCCTTCACTTCACCCCCTTTCTTTAGGTCCCTTGCTGCAATTACAACCCTTATCCCTCTCTTTGCTAATACTCTTGCCGTTTCAGCTCCAATACCAGATGTTGCCCCTTTTACCACAAAGCACAAAGCAGAATTAGTACGATGTTCATCAAGAAAGTTCATAACAATTGCAAATTGAACAGCACATTGACACCCTGTCAGGTTAGGGTATTCTTGTAATTTGCTTTGACTTCTAACACCATAGCCTCAAGGTCTAATGATTTATTGTCATGTTTACTTTGATTTTTTTTTTCACCCTTGAAGGAAGTGCCACATCAGAACGTATAAATGAATAAGTGGCTTTTAAGTTTTCAAAATGTGTTATTAGAAATGCAGCTTCATCGGGTCGGGTCGGGTCGGGTGGGAATATTGGGGGCCCGAATAGGATCGAGGCAAACCTGTACGCTGTACCTAAGCCAACTCGTTGGCATCCGTAGAATTAACCCATCCTTTAGGTTTGAAATTTTGAACCAAGCAGAAGAAACCATGATAGCAATGTTATTAACTTACATTCAAAATTCTGGAAGAAAAACTAAATATCAACTGATCAACTCCAAAATTCTTCTGTACTAAGAAAAGAAAAAAAGAAAGAAAAATCAGCTCAGAACTAACTGAACTGATGCAATCCGCATCCAAGCACATATCAAGCATATTTAAAAACAAACAAGAACAATATTGAAAAAAATTACTGTTGAAATTCCTCTAAATGAATCCTCTGTACTAACCAGTGATTATTGCTGTAAGCTGAGAAGGAACTAAGCAAGAACAATCTTCAGTAACTTGTTCAGCAGTTGAATTCGATCCAAAACCACTTGGACCTGCGACACCTGCTAAATACCTTAATATTTCCTTCATGGAAGTCATAATGCAAGACAAACTCTGAGGCCAAGTAGCACAAGATACCAGCTAGGTGGATTATAACACCATATATACCATCTTCTCCATGTTATTTTCACTTATTTGTTGTTGCGAAATTTTCGCTTTTGTTTTACTTTTTTTTTTTTCATTCGGATTTTGATTTGTGGGGGACAACCGGGCAACAGCAAGTTGACTTTGGCTGCTTTTGTGAAAGAGGAAACGGTCCCATTCACGGTCGATATTAGAGCCACGTCATGGAAAAGTATAATAAGGAGGCGTGGCCTTCGATGAAACCTCACGATCAACGCTAGTGATCCTGTTTATGCCTCTCTCTACACACACTAAGTGCACATTACCCGTTGATTCATATATGCTATTGTCATTGTCTCATTGAGGTAGATATGATCATGAGCTAATTAGACATTCAACAAGTATGGTGGGTTGATGGGTTGTAATCATGGTTGATGATGGGTTGTATCCATGAAGGCTCATTCATCAATCAAGCCATTCGCATGAATCAGATTATTCTGTGTCTCATTCATGAACATGCCATAACCAGAGGAAGTCAAATGGGTTGTGGTTGGTAGTTTGGATTCGCATTGCTTCTTCGTTGGAAATTATTAAATTTTAATTAATTATTCATTAAAATTTAGATTGTTTGGTTGCAGTTTGTTTGACCAACTGAACCGACGTAATGGGATTAAGGAATCGGCCAATCCGAAATTGACTGACTACTATTAATGAAAGCCAATCAACTCAATTCATATTTGTTTAGTTGATTGATTCAAAAGACAATTAAAAACTAATTTGTTAAACTAGAAAACATATGGTTTGATTGGATAAAAAAATTAAAACAATATATCTAATTAATAATTATAATAGTATTATTTAAAATATTTTTTTTATTTTTAAATTTAATTATATATAATATCAAATTAAGTTGAATCTGATCGATTTATACACAGCCAAATTGAAACTGACCCGATCTCTTAATTAGGTTAGTATAATGAATAAACCAACCAACTTGAGTCAAATTAAATTAGATGGGTCGGTTTATAGTGATATTTTATTCTTATTTTTGTATTATTACGCATCTAATAATTATCTCATTAATGCTTGGACAACGATTGTTACCTGACTTTTATCGTTCTTTTTTATTATTATTTAATTAAAAATTTTAAAATAACCTCATGATCCTATGATCTCATGAAAACTGAAATCATCAACCGGAGGTGGAACCTTAGGTCATAGAGGAAACAAGCATGCCAATACAAAGGAGGGGATTACGTGGTTACAACTTGCATTTCATTTTCATATGCTATAAGATTATTCTTTTTAACATATTTATGCATGCTTGACAGTAACGATTCTCTAAATTTGTATTTTCCTTTTTCTTCTTCTTTTGGCGCCTGATTTAATTTAACCGTACCATCTCCTTTTGAGTCTTTGACGAATTGGTCAATGAATCATTGACTCAAGTGGTCAAACCATTGATCCATTCAATAGTTTTTGACCATTTTTTAAATTTTACTTATTTTTTATTTTTTTAATTTATTTTGTCATAACGGACCATCCATTCAGACCGGATGGTTAAACCACCAACCTGGAAACCAGTGGTCAGAACGGTTTCAATTCCAGTTCCGAGTCGTTTTTTAAAACATTGGTTGGAGGACGATTGACCATAATCCAACATTTGGTGAGTACTGGAATTATTCACTGAGCCACGTGGATGAGTGGTGGGTCCAGTTGTTCAAAAGAAGACCCCACAATTATATTTATACTACTTATAAAAGAGCCCGTTCTTTCTGGAATTTTCATAGGATGTTTTATATCCCCCTTGTCTAAATATACAATGGGCATAAAGAGGGCATATATGTCATTTACTATCATTTTAGAAACTGCCCACTCATAGCTATCCAAAAACTATCCACTTAAAATTGTTCAAAAAGTGTTCATAAGTTATAAATAGATTTATCTTAGAGATACTGTCACATGAAAATACATATACATATTTACTAGTTTGATGAAATGTATTGGTCCCAAATCCTTTTGATTCAGACCAGCAATGTGAGGATCGTCTGACCTCTATTGGCCTAATGATATCAAAGCCTATCGGCTTTGTGTGGACGTCTGAACTTAGAAAGAAGCGATGTCGGAGATGGTCCCAACTCCGAATTCTGTTTTTAATACACACAAGGAGCCAATAACATAGATCATTCACCAACTTGCTATGAGCCATGGTATCTTAAAGGGGGTGTTCTTTTAGTGGATTTTGAGAGGGGGAAGTTGGTCAATGGGATTTTGATTCCCATTAACCAAAAACCCTATGTTCTTTTTTTTCAAATTTATGTGGGGGGTCTAGGGAAAGTTTATTTTCTTGTGTATCACTTACCCCCCATCTCCTAGGTGGGTAAATAACTTCCCCATTTGGGGGAAAATTGCCAACACTTGAATGGGGGAAGTTGGTCATTGCTTTATTTACATGAGAAATAAAAGAACATGGATAAATGCACTTATTACCCGGGTAAGTGCATTTACTCAGACAAATAACTTACTGAAAAGCAAATGGGGCCAAAAAGAAAAATGGTTTATATTAAGGAAGAAAATAACAAGTTAATTACTAATCGTTAGTTGCCAATTGCCGTTTTAGTTGTTAAGCAAACTGATTTTATATTCAGATGCCATTTATTTATTTATTTTTGGAAGGATTATACAACAAGCACAGGAGTAGCCCTCCCCAAACCCATTAAGGGTTGTAATTCGAACCATGGGTAATCGCAGGGGTTGACATGCTTTTCACTAGAGGATTTGGGTAACATTGACTGTTACATATATAACCCCAACACAAGTGAAAGCCTTATTGCCTTATTGCCTTATTTAACCCTAAGCCTCAGCTATATATATATGTGTATAAATATATATTTTATCAATAAATAATATAATATATAATTATGTTTTAGATATGTTATATGTATTTTTTATATTTAATTTATGTTTTTAATTTTTAATTTATAAAAATATTAAAATTATAATTTAAGGACAAATTTTTTCGCAAAAATAGTGGGGCAAGGTGCCTATGGCTCCTTGGAACACATAGATCTTGAAAATTTACCCAAAATCAAAAAACAAAAAAAAATCATCCCAATTGGACATCAACAAAAAGATTATGGCCTCCAAAAGTTTGCATGCATTGAGAGTGCAACCTACAACCCAGTGGGCGGGTTGGACGGTTCTTGACCAAGTCAACGGTTAGTTTTTTATTGTCTGATAGGTTTTGACTGAACCAGACACGAAACCTTGGTTGGGTGACAAGTCAAACAGTTCAACTAGTTGGATCAATGACAGGTTGAAAGCACAATCTCCCAAACAATAATAAATACAAGGGAAATGTTCCCAATGCATGACTGGATCTACTCCTCACACAGGGCGCCTCACATGCACATCTTACCATGCATTGGGAACATCTCTTGTACTTATAAGTTATTATTCACGGGAAATGTTCCCAATGCACGGTGGATGTGCCTATGAGGTGCCCATGTGTGAGGAGCAGATCCTGTTCCAATTAGGATATGCTGTGAGGTCGGTGTGAGGAGTGCCCTATGAGGAGCAAATCTAGGCTCGCTAAGGTTGCTCATGGTTTGGTTAACCGAACTGGTGAAATCGGTAACCGAAACCGAACTGGAGCCGATTGGTTAACCGATTCAATTAGCCATTGGTTCAGTTTGTCAGTTTTTCAATTTTTTATATTTATAATATATATTATAAAAAACATATAAATATATAATAAGAATATAAATATATATAATACTATATTTTAAATAATAAATAATAAATTATATATTATAAATATATATGTTTATATATAATGCATATTTATTAATTTATAATATATAGAAAATACAAAAAATATATATATATATATATAATATATATAAAAATATATGTATACTGATCAGTTCGGTTAACCACCTGTTTTTTATATTGTTTAACCGAAATCAAACTGCTACCTTCGATTCTTTAAAAATACCAAATCGACCAATTCAATTAACCAGATTTTTTGTTTGGTTTTGATCGACTTTTTTTGCTTGGTTCCGTTTTTCAGTTTTTGTTGCTCACAAATATCACCCTGTACTTAATCCGCCCCCCGAAACTTTCCTTTCTAACAAAGACCTACCGTGAACTTTTATTTTATATTGTTTGTTATATTTTATCAGCTTTTTACAAAATGGGTAAGATAAGAATCTTTGTTGTAAATGAAGGAAAGTTTGGGGGGGTAAGTGTTAGTGTGTTACTACTACCTCATTTACCCGATAAAAAGGAAAGATCAATTCTTCAGCAATTTTCCTTCTGAATGAATGCGAGAATGCTGATCATTCTTAATCGTCTAGATGAATGTGAGTACTGGTTTAATTATTCCATCATGAGAGGGCAGATTAAGGAGGTTAGTTTTTCTCCTCTTGAATAGCGCTATCTCTGGCTTTTATTAAACTAAATTTTGAGGTAGTTCCCTATGGAACCCAGGCCAGTAGGTTGTAGTGCAGGTGTATAGAGATATAATGGTAAGATTTGATGAATTACTCTGATGCAGCAGGGCCTGCAGGGGTTGGCAACTTAGTAAGAGCTAAAGTTGTATTTGATTGCAGTGCAATTTTCTTTTCTACTAGTACAAATGTATGGGAGTGTAAATGAAAAAACAATGCAAATTTTGATTTAATTTAATTTTGTTTTGGATTTTATTTTATTCTGTTTTAGGTCTTATTTTACTTCATTTGTACGGCAATCAAACAAAGTAAGGTAAATTTTAAAAAGAAAAAGAAATTAAAATTTACACCCATTGCATCAGTGCAAATAAATTTGCATTGCAACCAAACACAACCAAAATTCAGAAATTTTACAAGGGTTGAAAGTTGAAATTGTAAGATAATAAAAACCTATTAGAGGACCTCATCTAACAGCTTAAGCTTTTAAGTTGAATGGTTTATTGAAATGGCAATGGTATCAGAGCCTATTGGCCAAGTGGTTGAATTTTTATCCTTATCGCACTCATTATAATTAATTAAATTTCAGCACAAGGTATGGGTGGGCCTTTGTTTGTCCACACTTTCATGTGAGAGACATGTTAGAGAATAAAAACCTATTCAATGATCACACCTAAGAGCTTAAGCTTTAAGGTTGAACAGTGCATTGAAAGCAAGGATTCAAATATTGATACGATATGTCCGATATGAGATGTATCATATTGGTATCGGCCAAAGAGGATACGGGATGCACAACGACTAAACTCATATCCCTTGAATCACATGAATCAGAGCAATACGCATTCGTATTGGCCTATATCGTGTTGTATCAGCCGATACACACTGGGCAATATTGATTAATGTGTTTCTCGCGTATTTATTTGTAAAAAATGTGACTGAAATTATTCAAACGCAAATCATCAAACATTAAAGCCTTAACCACGCCATTGATCCACTAGGCCACCTTTCACCTTATAAAAATAAATGAAATAAAATAACATTTTCTCATGCTAGTGTCCACATGTAATACGGACAAATAACATACATTTGTGTTTAACAATTCCAGCGAAATAGAAAAATAATATTCAAAACTAATATTTAATAAACTAATAGAATAAATAATTTCTTAAATCCACATTTATATCAAAAAATTGTTTAATCTCAAGAAATTTATATGAATAAAGATATTAATAATAGAATAATTATTTTAGTACTTAATATTTATAAATTTGAACAAGATATGTATCTTAATTTTTTAATTATTAATTAATATTTTAATTTGAACTAAATAAAAGTATATATATTATTTATAAAAGTAAAAATATTATTTACAAAAACCTTGAGAATATAATATAAATTGAATTTGTCAAATCCATTAATCTACATTTATATCAAAAAATGGTTTTTTTATCTCAAAATTTATGGAAATAAAAATATTAATAATGAAATAATTATTTTAGTAGTTAAAAATTATGAATTTTCATATGATGTGTATCTTAGAAAATTTAATATATTTGATATATTTTAGGTTAATATTATATATTTTTATAAATTCTTAATTGAAATTTTAATTACATTTTATAATAGCGTGTTTATTGTTTACAAAAATAAAAATATTGTTAACTAAGCATTTGAGAATTAATTTTTAGTTGACTTTCAGTTAATATTAAAAATTAAAAATAGTAAAATAGAAAATAAATCGATATAATAATTCAAATATAATAGTTGCATATGTTTAGTGCCTTGAAATTCAATAGAAAATAACATAAAAATAGCTTTATGCATGTATTAATTTGTAAAAAATATATATATAATATGTTCCAAGATTCTTGATTGATACATTATCAATAAAATTTTATGATTTCTATACATCCCGCTATAAAATAATTGATATAATAATTCACATATAATAGTTGTATATGTTTTGTGCCTGGAAATTTAATAGAAAATAACATAATAATAGCTTTGTGCATGTATTAATTTGTAAAAATTATATATAATATGCTCCAAGATTCTTGATTGATACATTATCAATAAGAACTTATGATTTCTATGCATCCTAATGTATTAGTTGTAGTATATTTCTTCACATATGCCTTTAGAATATACATTTTCTATGTATGTATACATTAATTATATTATGGCTATTTTGATCTTAAAAATAATGTTATTAATATATTTATGGAATTTATATGCATTTTTTGGGTATTCATATTTTTCATCCATATCCATGTGTTTTCAAAGTGTATTTGTATCTGAGTGATCCGATATAATACCTGATACTGATACTTTAGTCCTTGGTTAAAAGAAACTAGCTTAAGGATAGGGGCGGAAAACCCCCCACCGCACCTCCACTTTGAAAATTGCCATAGTACCCAATTAAACCTCACCTATATTCTGGTCCCCCTATCCATGTTTACCAACTTTTGGCCCCCCATCCATATTTACTAGTTTTTGGTCCCCGTGAAGAGAAAATCCAAGCTCCACCCCTGCCTACGGAAGATGATGGGGAGGGATTGTGGTTGAAAGTGACTATAAAGTAGTTTAAGTTGGCCACAATCATACTTCTGGTGTCTCTTGTATACCTCTTAAGAGCCAAAAAATAAAAAGAATAAAAAAATAAAAAACTCAAAACTCAGCATCCAATCTGAACTGATCATTCAGACAGATCCCCAGGACTGCCCACAGATAAGCAGAGAATTTAACCAGAATGGGGGCCGGTAAGTCTGATTTAGGTTGGGGTTTGCGAGGGCCAGATGCCAATATTTAACACTTGATTCATGGTCTTTCTGAGTAGGTAAATCAGCCTTGGGCCGTTTGTTATCTTTCCGCCCATTGCTCCCAGAGCTGTTGGGAGATGATATGCTCTTACAATTCTTTATTACTCGATAAAATATTCTCTGTTATTGATAAAAAAACTTATGAAGGTTATCTTCATTTACCAGGTTTTGAAAAACATTCAGTTATGACCACAAAATTGCTTTGATTTACTGTATCACTGACATTGTAGATTAGCTGTTGAATGGTGAGTAAGCCTTCTTGGAGGTTTCCATTATACTTGTGCCAAAATTTAGTATTTGTTGATGTTATTTATTTATTTTTTTTCTGTTTCTTTCACTTTTGCATTATTGTGTTGGCTGATACCTAGTTTGATGCCAATGATACAGTTCTGGTATTGATTAAGCTGATATACATGTCTGTATGTACATTACAACTATGAACTTTGTTTGAAGAGTGCCACCTTAGATTGTGGATTGGCATAATATTCTGTGGATAAATGCATGGGTTTGCTTCCAAAGTCTTCTTGCTTCAGACTGATCATTTGCTAGACTTGAACAGTAACTCTCATTGCAATCTGTGAAATACTTCCCATTCACCCCATTTATTTGTTGGCTCAGAGCAACATAGCATGTTGTTGATGCACCCTGGGTAAAAATTAAAGGAGAAAGAAAAGGGAAAAAATTGAAGTTCTTTAGAACATGGATTTTGGAGGAGAAAAGGCAATTCGATGCAAATTACATGGCTGGGAACAAACCTGAGATGTTGTCTTTAGCAACTTTGATGCAAGAAAGAAGATTGAATCTGTGAAAGAAAATGTGCAAACCTTTAAACCTTCATGTTTAAGCAGATACCAAAACAGTACAACTATGCTTTAAATTCTTGAATAAATCAACTTCATGTTGATGGTTTTTTGGTTCTATCTTTGTATGCTTCCTGCTATGAGGTAGGAATGGTGTCACCAATTGAAGTAAATAAATTAGTTTATTGAGTTTTCTTTGTTAAAGAATAAAAATCTATTTTAGGGGCCTCACCTAACAGTTATGCTTTTAGGTTAAACAGTTACTTGCATGAGATGCATGGTATCAAAACTTGTTTGATCAAGTGGTCTAGTGTTTGATCCTTATTTCCTCTATTACAATTAATTAATTTCAGCACAAGGTATGGGTGAACCTGTTCTTGTCTACACTTGGCTTTTGTGTGAGAGGATATGTTAGAGAGTAAAAACTTATTCAGAGATCTCACTAGCTAACATCTTAATTCCAGACAATTAAGTTATGAGCTTGGGCCCGAAAGTAGTAGCAGTTGGGATCGGAAATTTAAATCCTTACTTTCAAGACTAAAAAACAATTGAGCGTCATTTCCCTTTTTGTCATACCTGTGATGAAGCCCTTATGATCCCTGATAATCCCAGTCTTGACTATTCCGGGGTGGACTGCGTTAATAGTTACTCTCGCATTCTTTGCCTGTAAAAGAAAGGAAACACTTTTTCTTTTGACTCCTGTGTCACCAAAACGGTGGCAAGAAGAACGAATAAAAAATATGTAAGAGAGCTTACGTTGAGCTTCTTGGCCATTTCCTTTGCATGCAATATGTTAGCCAATTTTGATTGAGCGTATGCCCGCGTTCCATTGTAACTGCATAAAGCCATAAACATACAAGTGTAAACATTTTCGGACTTTGGCGCCCCACAATACCTCCCACCCGTGTATTGGGAACATCTATGTTTCTAATGCACATTGAGATGATGATGTGAATGTGGGGCGCTAATATGATCTTCATCTAATGCACATTAATGTAGGATCAAGGGGATTATATTAAGAAAAAAATGTAGGCCTAGGTAGGAGTGGTCATGAGCCAAGTTCTTTACAAGCTATTTGAAATTGACTCATAAAAAGCTCAGCTTGTTTCGGTTTTAATTGAGTTTCGAACCAAGTTTAAACCCAATTTATAGGATCGATTGATAAATGAGCTGAACTCGAACCTAATAGAATTCTGCCGGTGAGTCTCACTGAAGCGAATTACTTTTTGAAAAGAAAGATGGAAAGATAAGAAAATTACTTTTTGGGATTAAGCATATCACTGAAGCGAAATTCATCTCGCCTCACCCAACTGTGAATTACGGAAGAAACGTTGATTATTCTTCCTTCAGTGCCTGTCTGGGCTGCTGTTTCTACCAATTTCTCTAATAGCATTTCAGTCAATAAATAATGTCCTGCCAAATATAGTGAAACAATATAGTCAATAAAGGCTAAAGCAAAAGTAAAAGAAGAAAGATAGAACGTTCTTTAGTCTTTTATACAGAAGAGAAGAAATGAAACTCTTTTCGAAGAGGGGTACTAAGTACTAACTATTAACTAATGCGAGTGTAGTGTTTCTCAAGCCTGCAATTTTTGTCAACCACGCTCATCTACAGAGTACACACCCAACGTTAGCTATGGTCTATGAACCAGGCTTGTAGCGGGTGTTGGCTGGACCGATTTATTATGATCTACGGCCCAGATTTTCACTGAGCCCACACCATGGTCCGAAGTCCGAACTCCCAAGTGTTCATACAATCATACCTAAAGCTGGTGTAAAGGGAGTATGGGACCAGCCATTATTTTTTGCCACAAGTACTTAAGTCCATCTTGAGGTAAAAGGTTGTGGGGTTCAGGGTTGATGGTTGATCTCACCTTGCTCTATCTTGACTTTTACTGCCTGGAGTTTTCTAACTTCAAATCTTACCTGGAGCCCCCAGGCTGGGGGTCCATTGGCTTAACGAAAGCATGGCCTATTTTCTGGATGGGCCATCCCGTGGCACATCTTCAGAATGCTTTTTGGACTTGACACGTTACCATAGTTGTAGGGTAAAAGACTAATTGCACTTAATATTCCTTTGACCACAAGGACAAACAGGCCCAAAAACGTTTCAAACAGCCTAGGCTGTTGGGCCCCCAACAGAAAAGGTATCTACCACATCTTCATCTCCAGTCACCACTAAGACAAATAGGTCTTATCCCATGTCTTGGCATGACCTTGGCCCTAAAGAGAAAAGATATCCAAGCTATTTTTCTTCTTTTTCTTTTTCTTTTTCTTTTTCTTTTTCCTTTCCAAGTTGTTCTAGTTCTAAGAGAGAAGGGATAGGAAAGTAAGGGGCTTACCCAAGTAATTTGTAGCAAAAGTCATCTCGATTTTGTCTTCAGAGAATTCCAAATTTTTTGAGTATTTCCCTGCATTGTTTCTGCGAAGCAATTTTAGTCGAATAACTTCAGTATCAACTGGAAATACTAATAAGTGTGGTGTCACTGGTGTGAGTGTGACCACAAAAAAAGAAAAAATGCTAATAAATTAATGTGAAACAAAACTCTATTTCCCTCCACAATTCAATTCAGTTGGAGTCTTTTAGAGATGAGAATGGTTGGAAGAAGGATATGTATGACTCACATGAGGATATTAAGTGGTAATCCTAGAGAAAGGAACTGAGAGCAGAATCTCTTGATTGAAGCAAATGAGCTAAGATTAATCTCTAACAACACAATTTCAGCTCGGGGGCTCTCCTTTTGGATCCTCTCCTTCACTTCACCCCCTTTCTTTAGGTCCCTTGCTGCAATTACAACCCTTATCCCTCTCTTTGCTAATACTCTTGCCGTTTCAGCTCCAATACCAGATGTTGCCCCTTTTACCACAAAGCACAAAGCAGAATTAGAGGATTAATTTCACCAAGATCATCAATAAAGCTCTTAGCCTCTTACAATTGCAATTGAAAATTCAGAAATCACTGATAATTGCCTTTCTTTTTTTTTAAGTTCTGTTTCTATGTTTATGGAGCAACCGCAGAATCAATTCAGAAAAATAACCAGTCATCAACTTGTTAGTGAATCATGGTCTTATCAAAACAGAAAATATATTAAGAAAACAAAATCTCAACTAATTACAGAGCATCCAGGAAAAAAATCAAGTGGGTCGTCCACCCACCCAATTCTATCAAAACAAAAGTACATGAGGTTAAGAAATACTCAATCTATCTCTTATTTTATTTGTTTTTTTTCCAGAAAAATAAAGCATGAAAATTTCTTGAGATATCCACGAGGTTGTTGTCAGGCATAAGCCAAATGGGTTGTTGAAAGAAGAAGAAAGAACGAAAGCATGACTATTATTGTACAGAAAAATTCTGAAGAAGTAACCCAAGAAAAGACAAGAATGTTTTATTAAAAATTAAAAAAGAAAGGAACTTTAGCTTAAACAAATATTATAGACCCATGGAAGAATAAATTAGTGGAACAAAGTCTACAAAATCTCAAATATAAATTACATGATTAGTTTATAAGTGTAGAGGACAGTAGTTATCTGGGTTGGACGAATTGGAGGAAACTATTCAAAAAGCTGAAGCATGTCTCGCAACAACTGTGGGAATGTACCTTTAACAAGAAGAAGTATATTCACCCCTTTATTTATATATATTTCTTACAAATGCATATCTTTTCCCGAAAACCGTGCAATACATTAAATGGGTTCAATCCATACATCAGATTTGAAACCAATCCAAGAAGAAGAAGGAGAAGGAGAAGGAGAAGAAGAAGAAGAAGAAGATATCTGCCTTAATTCTTTGAAGAAAAGCAAGATAGAACTGTCAACTTATACTCGAAATTCTGGAAGAAAAACTGAATACAAGCTCCACAATTCTGTGCTTGAAACCAAACCAGATAAGAAAAGAAAAGAAAATCAGCTCAGAGCTAACTGAACTAGTACAATCTGCATGGGATGGAAGCACATATCAAGTATATTTAAAAGCAAAGAAGAAGAATAATATTGAAACAATTACTGTGAAATTTCATTGCTTTAGCTCTTCAAAAAGAGTCCTCTGTACTAACCAGTGATTATTGCTGTAAGCTGAGAAGGAACTAAGGAAGAACAATCTTCTGTAACTTTCTCAGCAGTTGAGTTCGATCCAAAACCACTTGGACCTGCGACACCTGCTAAATACCTCAGTGTTTCCTTCATGGAGTGCAGCAACTTCTGAGCGTCACAAAGCAAGAGAAACTCTGAGACGAAGTAGCACAAGGCTCTTGCTCAGTGAATTATAGCACCATCTGTATATATATAGGAACCCACTCACTCAGTAATCAACTTATCTTTACCATGTCTAATCTAAATTTTCTTATTTGTTGTTGTCAAAATTTTCGCTTTCAATTTGTTTACCTTTTTATCGTCTGGATTTCGATTCGCCGTTGGTGCTGAGCTCCTTTTATAAAAAAGAGGAAATGCTTTGTTTATTCATGGTCGATCTTAAAGCCACGTCATTGAAAAGACAAAATTTTTCAAAATAAGGACGCGTGGCCTTGCCATCCACCGTTAATAGTGTTGATTAAAAGGAGCAGAAAGTCTCTTCTTCGCTGCCTTGCTGGCACTGGCAGTGCCACAAATTCTTTTACCTGTAGCCTTTTAAATGATGAGAGAAATGAAAATCTCACATTTTAAGATTCAAGAGGGGAGGATCAACACTAGTGATCCAGTGTATGTTGCTACACACACACGATGCACCACCTACCCATTGATCTATATGCTATTGCCACTGACGTACGTAGATGATCAGGAGCTAATCAAACATTGCACAACTCAGAGCATATTGATCAAGTTCTGCCATGTAAATCATGGTTGATGATGGGATGGACTATATATGCGCTGCAGTGATTGAGTTTGCAGTATGTGGGGCCATGGATTGGCGCATCATGCTATCATTTATGATGTTATAGTGCATTTCTTCCACCATCAACTCAAATGCATTGCTCAAATGGAGCTTTTTATCAAATTAAACCCCATTAATCAAAGTGTTGTTCAACTACATCTGGAACTGAATCCGTCCATCAATCAAACGATTCTCGCATGAATCAGAATCAAATCATTCTCTCTCATTGTGAGAAAAATGTGATACTCCCAAGATTGCTTTTAGGGATAATAAGGTGTTTGGATAAGTTTCAGGGTTAGGGTTTCTGTTTTGTAAAGCCTAAAAGCATAAAGGCTTTTTTTTAGTTCAACCATAAAGCCTGGAGTTTAGGCTTTTGTGAGTTAAGACTTTTAAGTGTTTTTCATTTCATGCTATAATGTTTTTAAAAAGGATTATTACCAAATTTTTCAAAACATTTTTCTAACTCAACTTTGTTTTTGACAGACTGAAGCTCCAAACCGAGTTTAAAATCATGAAGAAAATGGAAATGGTAATTTAATAGAACGAGTTGGTTTCAATGTGATTTTTGGCTCAAAAATACATAGTAAAGTAATTAAGGCTGCACTTGGTAAACATCCATACAGATTCATGTATTAACCAAAGCTAAAACCATCAATAATTGATTGCATCAGTGGACACTTTACAGTTTACACTTTTAATTAAATGACTCTATTATACACTTTGTAATCTATCTTATCTTCTTCCTCCTAGCCCTAGCCTTAAATCCAACTAGGGTTGGAAGAATGCACCAATTTAAATTTATCATAAGACAAAGTCTCAACAAAATCTTTTTTTTTTTTTTTGGTTTAATATCTACCATCGCAAAGAGAGAGAGAGATTTATGTATTGATTTCAAATTCAAACAACAACAACAACAAAGTCTCAACAAAATCTTTTTTTTCTTTTTTTGGTTTAATATCTACCATCCCAGAGAGAGAGAGATTTATGTATTGATTTCAAATTCAAACAACAACTAGAATTTCTTGAAAACACACATCAATAACATCTTCCCATGAATATAAAATATAAATATGGAAGATATTACCGATTTTACGTTTTTTATGCTTTCAAGTAATCTGGGGTGGAACAACTAGGGTTAGTAACTTGAATTCATCCTCAGCAGAGTAAAAGATTAAAAAGAAGAAGAAAAAAAAAAGTTTATTTTGAAATGTCAGATTTAATTTGGTGCTCCAGATTAATAGGCTTTACACACATGGTCATCATTTAGACTGACCCTTGTTCATCAAATTGTTTCATGAACAGGATTAGGACTGCTAGGATCCCTCACACGTGCACATCATTCAGCTTGATTGATACCCGAATCGAGAAATTCAAATGGTGAGGAGAAATATGAGTTAAAAATTTGTGAAAATAATGCTTTAACTCTCAGTGGCCGGATTGGTGTGGTGTGAACGTGGCTCTAGTGTTTTCTTTGTTTGTGAGTGACTTTCTAATGGGGTTGGAGAATGATGGCTCATGTTGGCTCATGTTGGATATTTGACGGGCTAAAGAGGACATTGAAGTTGACTTTTCAACCATTGGGGTCTGAAAGTGGGCCCTCTGGTCTCCTCCTTCCCACACAACACTTATAATCCTGCCAAACTGTTAAGAAGCAATTTTCTATTCTTTTTCACATGTTATCTTGATTTACTGCCATTCGTGCATGCCCACAAACACAAAGGATAAAAGAAAAAAAAAAAAAAAAAAAAAAGAGAAAGATAGATTAGATGGGAAAGCCTTTCTGTGCTATCAGTGCATGTTGGAACTCAATTACTCAAAGCCAAATTGCCATGATTCCACCAAAACAACAAGGAAGTAGAACAAAACAACAATAGAACTGTAAATGTGATATTATATATCTCCATTGATCTAATACCAGACATTGTTTGCTTGGATTCAGAGCAAATTGAATCACATTCACACTCAATATTATGGTTCTTGGGATTTTTTTTTCTATTTTCCTTCTGATCATGAAAATTTAGGTTAGGGTTTATCTAGAGAGTTTGTCTGCCATGAAAAGGGCAATTCCAGGGGATCGATGTCTACTCGTGCATTCATCAAAAAAAGTAGGGGTGATCATGGGTCGGGCAAGTTGGGATTTGTGCATTATATTTAAAATATAATATATGTTACAATTTGTACAAATATAAAATATTTTATATAATATATTATGTATTGTTTTATAATTTTTATATAAAAATATATCCTAAAATAAAAGATAAAATACACATATGTATATATGTATTATGTTCATACTTCATATATAGCATGCCTGATGTTTTTTTCGCTTCTTGAAGCTATACAACATGGGGTAGCCCCTCCCCCTCAACCCTGGTGCAGGTGGGATTCAATCCAATGTCTTTACTAGAACCAACTGGAGCGTAGAGGCCTTACTAATCAACCAATTGGCACCTTGCTATGGCAAGTGCATCAATTCATGATCAGCATTCATCCCCATGTACAGTGGGACTAGAAAATTCTGACTTGGACTGATCAATCATTCTCCCTAAAATATTTATATTTCATAGATAAAAAATAAATATTTTTATTTAATTGTTAAAATTAGCAATAATTGCTCGTAATTTGTCTACATAGAAAAGTTAAATTGTCAATTCATGGAATCATGGATTGGAATGTTTAACTTCATTCTTTGTTAGAAGTTGTATTTATTAATGCCACCTAACTATTTTGTCCTGCATGCCTTTTACCTTTTCTTTGCATAAGCAACAAAATTCTCAATATAAAAAAAAAAAAATTGTGCATTACCAAATAATAATGGTATTACAAATTTACAAATTTGATCGACAATTTGCAGTTCTAGTCTTGAGTTTGGTTAGAAAATCTTAAATTAATAAATGCATTCTATACGTGAAAGCTCAGACATATTTTTTTTTCTAAAACTAAAAAATACCATGTATTTCTAAAGTCCCAAAAATAAGTGAAATATGTGAAAATGTTAACAAAAGAAAAATAATTTAAATTTTAAAATACGGGGCCAAATCATTTTCTATTTTTTTTATAAGGTGAAAGCACATTTAACTCTCCAAGCTGCTTACCAAGTGAAATCCAAGCTTAGTAGTTGTAAAAGCACATTTACAAAATAAACTATTAATATTGGATTTTTTTTTTTGGTAAGCAGCTTGGAGAGTTAAATATTTTACAAATAATTCAATGAAGAGAGACTTTTCACTTTATAAATAGTTTTTTTTTTCAGAATGGAGGTATCACAAAATATTAGGCAAAATTCGATAAATAGTTATTTAATTCCATCAAAGTGAGTTTGTCTTACGCTATTGGTTTCAAGCCTATATAAAGGAGGAGGGTTGCATAAAGTTGGCAGTTAGCACTAAAACTTCTGCCAAATTCACGCATGAATATGGGAGTTCACATCTCCGCCCCACAGCACATCCCTGCCGTGTATTGAAAACATCTCCCGATAATACGGAAATGTGATCTCTGAATATGGATCCTAAAATGCAATTTCTTTATGTGTTTCTTCTTCAATCCAATCATTTCTTCCTTTAAAATTTATTTTTCTTCCCCTTTTAACAATGGTTCTACTTTTCCAAAATCACCCCCAACAACTCCACCAATTTGAGAGGCCAATAATTTAAAAAAAAAAAAGAAGAAGAAGAGGTTGCCTAACCAAGTGTCTCCATTAATTTGCCAAGAAACAATAAAGGAAAAAAAGTAAACAATAATCTATAATAGTCTAAACATAATCCTGATAACCCTAGGGCCCAAGTGCTACAAACATGTCTCCCTCTATCTCTAAAATTTCTACCTGAATTGATGTACTGAATAAAATAAAGAAAAAGTTACCCACCAAACATAATATTCTCTCGATACATTGTGCCAATCTACTTGTAACTGTCCATAAAAAGAAAGTTAGAGGGAAAACTGAAGATAGATGAAACTTTCTTTGTTGGGAAAATTTTGGCCGTCAAAATTTAACAGCCTGTGCTGCTAACAGGGCTTTCATTGCATGACACAATACACATAAATTAAAAAAAAGAAAAATCACTGTCCATGTTTGACAGCCTGGGCTGTTAGCTGTCAACAGGGTTCTCTATGTATAAGTATAACACATTAATTCACCCAACAATGCACAATGCATGCATCCAGCATATATACTGTTACAAGGAGGAGTCTATATGAACTAGCATTCTCATATGGGGAGAGTCGGCCCTAATGACAGCCCAGGCCGTTGAATGTGGACAGCGAAAGTTTTTTTTTTTAATTGTATATTAAAAACAAATCGCTATTTGATTTTGAATGTAAGATACCATACGATGGCATAGTTTCTCCCTGCATTGGCCCCATATGAATATAGTAAGATAAATGGGAAAAGGTTGTTTGTCTTCATCACTACGAAACAAATCTAAGAAAAAGAGTTTGGTCTCAAAACAAAAGTGGATCAAATCCGAAGAA